CATAAGCAAGTTTCTTTTCACCAGTTACCAGTAGGAGTCAGAGTACTAAGCAGTTTTTCATGATATTTCCTCTCCTCTGAGCCTTGAGCCTGGTCCAGAAACCCTTTAGGGTCGAATAGCAGCTAGGTTCTGCAAGACCCAACATTGTTCAGACTCACCATCTGAATTGTTGTACCTTCAACAAGTCTCTACAACAGGTATTTCAGATAGAAAGAGCGGTAATATTTGCAATGTCAGCTAAGAACTATGAAATATCAGGTTTGACCACAAAGTGTCGGGGACCGGTGTAGCACTCAGGCTCGCGCTGAGCACGTATTCAGCTAATTCCCAATGCATGTCAAACACCCGAATCACTTCCCAATGTTATCCAACACTTACCCGCTCAATCCGACATTTATCCGCTAACCGGACGCTAACCCGACATAGTCCGACACTTATCCGACAGACCCAATGTTTCCCACGCATTGGACCTGATATTTTCCCGTGCACTTGTCCTCCCTATGTCCTGTCCTGTCATATCTATCCCCACTAGGTGTGCAGTTATCTATTTTCACATCGCTAACACTGTAGACCGTGTTATTACATGTCCACAGTACCACATGTCTTATTACATAGGACATCGGACTACCGCTACTACTTTCGCCTATAGCACTCAGAAATTCTACATAGACACTATATATTTCGCATACCTCCTACTTACTTATCTACCTTTCTACCTCTGAGTAGGAGGAGGTCATCTGATATTTGTAGTTCTTCGTTGAATTCTGCAATATCATCCTTTCATTACCCGAAAACACTCCGAAAACACTGACAGTAATCCGCCATTCACTATCCCCGACATTCATTACATTCCTGACACTAATCCGATGTAACCCGATGAAACCCACTAACCAAAAACCAAAAAACATCGGACCTGATGTTTTACCTTTGGACTCGTAATTATACCTTCAGACTTTGTTTCCCGCACTTCAGACTATCTTCCTTTTCATATAGCTAATTATTCTAATACCTTACAGTGAACCCCTCTGGTCGAATGCACTTGTCTCGCAAGTATAGCAGACTAGGCTGTGCAAGACCACAACATTTTTATATTGCTAGTTACTTACTTTGTGTAGTGTCCAGCAATTGTTGTCTCATTACACCACGCAAGACCACAACATTTTATATTGCTGGTTACTTACTTTGTGTAGTGTCCAGCAATTGTTGTCTCATTACAGTAGTACCAATATCAAAGTTACCTTGTGGTACTCCATGCCGGCATTGGGAAAGTATGGCATCAAAAATTGATGTGCGATGACACGCACCAACCTTGTTTTGTGCATGGTTATGGCTCCTTTTGAGCTTTGATATCCTCTACTGTACTCTACAATGTTACTAAGAATTTTCTATAACATGTTATGATTTGATTTGAGTAGTTTTCAGACATAACAAACCCACAACACTACATAATAATTCAATTAATACTTATGCTATTCAAAGATAAGTTCCAAACATACCATAATATATTACTCAGCAATTTTTCTCACACATTCTTTACATTTCTTTTGTATGTTCTGAAACATATTCAATATAACATTTCAATGTATCAACAGTTCATAGGTGATTATTGGCTTAGTCAGATGAAATGGATTAGTAAGATGAGATGGATTAGTCAGGAATTTGAATGAAGAAAGTTGATAGATGAGAATATTTGAGGAGTGAACAAGTTATCATAAGACATCTCTACAATGACTCAGTTTGAGTCATTATGAGCCATATTTCCTTATTTAGATAGTTACACAGCCACATTTAGAGTAGTATATAAGGGGCTCTATTTCCCCTCTGAATAATGACAATCTTCCTGAGAGGACAGACAATCCCCCTTTAAGAGAAAGAGAGGAGAATTTGAGTATCTTCCTGAATTTCTCACCCTACATCTGTGTAAACATCTGAGTGAACATTAAGTTTATTCCCTCCATTCTTTTGTCATCTTTTCCCACAACATACTGATCTTCTGAGGCCTACCTTGAGCCAATCCTTGAATCACACTAGCTGGTACATGGTTATCAGTCATCTAGTTGTAGTTTTGTCACATTCTCTTTAAAGACACAGGATACCTTTTCTGTGAGGAGAATTTACATATTTTTAACAATTAGAATGATAACAAATAAGACTAGCACTTTATTCAATAATATTAAGAGCTTGGCTGCTTTAAGACTACATCAAGAGGGTGTACTCTGTTCTGATTCTGCATCATACTCATTGTGAGTGCCTGAGCAGCAGAGAAGTTAGTTTTGAAGCCATGTATTTCGGTTAATTTGATTTTGTTAGAGGCTTAGTTTGATCTCCTCTAATTTTTGAGAATAGGGAGTGTTTACGAGATATTACTCTGATTCATTGTGTACCATTGTGAACTATATCTTCATCTTCATATTGCATACTTTTGCAATTATCTTCTAGTAGCATTGTAGTACTGCATCAAGCCTTTATCTTTAGTGTCCTAAGCACTGCATCAAGCCAGTTAATGGTCACTGTCTCAACACACCTAAAGTCACTAGAAGTTTGTTTAGAATGACCCTGCTATTTACACCTCCTCCCACGAACGACCACATTATCAACTGTTGGTATTTGTCTGAACCGTTGACTGTAGAGGATAGTGAGAACCAGTGATTTTATTGCCAATCACATCCTAGTAAGACAATGGGCAGAGGTTGGGGACTAGCAAGGAAGACCAGTTGGTCCTGTCCAATTTCTTTCCTTCATTTTCTCTATCTTTTGGGCTATATGGTTTGGTAAGTTGTATCCAGGATTTAGGACTCATATAAGCTACAGTTTTTAGACCCATGGTCAGATGAGTCAGCATCTGCAGGTGTACTTGCAGGTGTATCTCGATATATGGTTATACTTCTCGGACATCCTATATTCACTGCATTCATCAGATTCTTTGTGGACCTCAATTTGCAAATTCATCCACTTATTGGCCTTGAAGGGGTCCCTCCAGGAACATCTGTGAGTATAACATGCTATTTGTAAGTTTTGTTTTTATTCATCACTCATCATAAAACTAATTATCTACATTAAAGTCTACTAGTACTAATTCACTCTCTTTACTTTGCTTGTAGCTATATTCCCCTAGCCCAGAATCACATGGACCCTCAGATGAGCACACTATTTTGTCACATTGTCACAGTGCTCCACTGCGCCAGTTGGTTTTTATTCTATTTTGTTTTGTATACTACATTATTGTGTCATTAAAGTCCCTATATCATGTACATTACAATAGGATAATACTTTTCAATCTCATGCACTGTTGGTGAATAGGCTATTCTATCATATTTATGCATCATCCTGGCTGATAAGAGATCCCTGGTTATGCATGGTTGTTGCTGATCCCACCACCTTGACAGCTTTATGCATAATGGTGCCTGCACCACATTGAGCCTTTAGAACTTCAAAACTCAGCTACATTATTCCTACACTCTGCATTTTTGACCTACTGTGGAAATTACCCCACAACACCCAAAACATCACCTATTTTGGGCTCCTGATACATTGTTTCTACTGTTGAATGGATGCTGGGGATCATTTGTTGAAGTCTATCCACCTGGAAATAATAGAATGAGAACATATTTTCTCTTTTCCCATATATATGCTATATCTATTGATGTAGAAGGTTCCAGGAGGTAAAATAAAGATGGGAATCTCTTCATGTATACTCCTAAACATGTTCTGAATCACCTGGGACACTTCCCTACCATATGGGAAAAAATGTGAACCTATTCTGTATTCTATTATATGTTAAATGGTCTCTGGAGGAGGAGCAGGCACACAAATGAGCAAAAAATATGGTCTATTATATTATATTATACATATATTCCAAACTACTACTTATATATGAAGGAGGACCTATTGTGGTGTAGTGGTGAAGCTGCAGTGAGGTGGGGAGGGTGTGAAAATAATTAATATTGTGGAGATTCCCAAAATGGTTGATGTTTTGGGTGTTATGGGGTAATTCCCATGCTGTGGGGCTGAAAATGTGGTCACATATTTGATAATCCCAGTTGGGCAGTGATTTGTAAGCTGGCAAGTGCCCAAAGCTTCTATAAATGATTCTCCTCAAGGATACATCCTGTTGGACAATTGGATAGTTATAGAAAAGTATGTATCGGTATTTATGGGCTGTTGTGACTTGTCCATTCAAGATGTATTAATATAACGCTATGGGCTGCAAGATCATCCGCCAGGCGGGCAGCAGCCTTGCTGGCAAGAATAAGATGAACTTGTCTTCTGTGGTGATCTGCAGGTTGCAAAGCCCCTCTGACTTGAGTTCATACATGTGATATGTATTCCAGTCATGTTCTGGCCTCCACCTTGCTTCTGTGACCAGGATTACAATGCAAGGCAGATGCAACCTGCGGTACGCAAAATGGTGAATGCTCTGAGTCTGGTAGTCAAGTGTCTGATATAATTTCAAAGCCGACTGTGGAGGTACAATACTCCGCAGTGAGGAGATCAATGATTGAATATCATCTTCAGATAGAGATGGCAGTTTGCATGGTGGGGCTCCATATAAAGTGATGTTGGCTGGTAGATAGCTATTGAACTCTGATGACTTTCCGACCCAGTCCAGGGCAGTAATGTCACCTAACAATGGCACAATCTCCTGCAGGAGCTGGCTGAGTGCGCTCTGCTTCTTCTTGCCATAATCAACACATAGGCAGACACCAAAAATGCTCGACAGTGAATATGCAATCTAAGAAGTAAAGTAGAATGGTTTTGGGAATGATCAGGTGCTCACGTAGCTTTTGCCTATTTCGCTAAAGGCCATGTGGTTTGCGCTTAGCTTGCTTAACCTTGATTTGGAAACTCGTGTGGTTTTGTCACATGTTTTCAAGTGCCAACTCAAATAGTGTCGCCCTTTGGGAACTTAGCACAACCTTGGTAACTGTATATGTACATGACATTAAATAATGAAAAAAAGATGTGTTTGAGCAGGGCAAGGCAGATATGTGATTAGATTTAAGTTTTTTTCCTACTGTAATTGTTATGATAGTATTTGTATACATACAGCAAATAATGGAACAACATATAATACAATTACAGACAGGGAAAACAAATATGAAATAAATGAGATTGGGAGATGAATGACAGAAGGTTATGAAAAAATAACAAATAACAAAAGGGAGAAAAAGACCACTTAGAGACTCAAAAACTGGAGAATGGGAGGACAGAAAAATGGGAATGGGAATGGGAAAATGGGAGACGGGAGACGGTGTAGAGACTAATATCTCTGTGGCCTTGTAGAGGTCTAAATTCCCAACGTTCTAATCACCTACCGGATACAGCGCGACACATATATTGCTAGTGTGCTCTCAGCGCTCCATCAGCCGCTTGCGCACATGGGCGCTTTGGTTGCGCATTGGCGCGTGCATCTTCAGTTCCATTCCCCATCCTCCGTCCATCCATTCCATGTCCGATCGGTTCGTCGGTGCGTATTCCTATCTGTTTTCTCATGTTCTGACATATCTCCGGCGCTTGTGCATATATTCTGTATGTTATAGACCCTCATTACATGTTATCACGTATTCGCTTCGCTTCTCAGTTCGCTTTAGCGATTGACAGCACTTAAACACTTCATAGTTAGAATATATATATCCGCATCTCGTTGTAGAAATGACATCTTTCTTCCCGCACATCATTGGACTTTAAGTCTAAATTCTCTGTTATAGCCGCCCAAAACATATCAGAATATCTAAAGGAATACTCGAGTGCTTGTCATCACGCCCTTCTAGAACCTCTGTTACTTGTCCTCCGGCTCGTTAAAAGAGTCGCTCCGCTCCACCCATACGCACGCCATCACACCTCGTCACTCGATAAGCACTTGTTAGCGCTTCCGCACGTTTGCGCACCTTACCAGGCTTGACTAAGCGCCCGGTTCAGTGTTTCCCTCCAATTATACATACAGAGGAACCTTCTCAGTAGCAATCCCCTTGGGCCGACATTGGCTCGCGCACAGAGGACCATCTGAGTATATCTCATACTACCTATTTACCTACCCTTTATATTCCTCATCTACAACGGGAGACGGGAGAAAATAAATACATTCAATGATACTGTTACATATTTTGTAATTTGACTTTTGTCAAAATACTACTCAAAGAATGTAGAACTGACTGATCTTATGTACTATAGTGATACTCAAAATAGGTTTTGAAAACTCGCTTAACACCCTTTGAACTCTCGGCTGAAAGTGTTTCAGAGAGTTCGGCTGTTGAAGGTCAGACCGGCATGGTAAGCGGAGCTTGAAATCTTCATGCCTCCTGCTCGTCGTTCTTGTCATATCCTGTGTTCCGGACCCGGACCTATCACACACATCATTTCCAGAAGTCCAGATCCGGCCGATGTATATCCATGTCCGGATCTGACCCGCGTCTAACTTCCGCACCTTATCCCTTTGTACGTTCCTACTCCAGTTAGACTATATCATTTTCTGTACCTCATTTCATTTCCGCCTTTATTTTCATCTGTTCTAATCTCCAGGTTCATTTACTATTTTCCGATAGACTAGTGTTTGACTTTTCTATACACTCCGTCCACAGCTTTGTATAGCTTCGGACTACGCATCTCTGTTCTCCGATAAGTCCTCAGTAGTGTTAAGACCGTGCACAAAGGGTAGGACTGATTCCGAGGGGCTTGGCTTCAGCTTGTGCGCTGCGCCCCTTACCCGAGTATGTGCCCTTAATTTCAGAATGATGTCCGAAGAAAGTCCAAGGACATCCGAAGGACATCCGAAGCGTGGGAAAGTTCGGAAGGACTTTCCGGACGAGTGCGGGAAAGTTCCGGAGGAACTTCCGGAAATTACGATGAGGTTTCGTCCTGATACAGATACGTGTAATGGCTACTTAGGACACGTCCTAAGTAGAAGCAAACAGAGGAAAGGCTGCAAGGACAAAGTCCGAAGCAGAATAGGTCCGGAGGACCGTGGGAAAGTTTCGGATGAACGTCCGGAAACTTCGGAGGATCGGATGAGCGGATAAGCGGAGCTCTGGCCTAGGGAATTTCTCCCTAGGCCCGAGATGGATATTGACTAAGTCGATAGACTAGAACTGATATGAGGACTTAGAGTGAGATCTAGTGCGAGGACTAATATGATATTCAGACTGAGGAACTACAGGACATATACAAGAGTTTATATACTAAGGAAATAACGGAAAGATCAGTAAGCAAGCGTCCGAGGCTATGTATGAAGCATAAGCAAAGTTATCAAGCGCGAGTCGGAAATGAAGCACAGGTTAACGGATCAGTAAGTGTACCGGTAGTAAGTATAACCGAGATACCGAGGACAAGGAATACCGAATAGAGGAATAGGCTGTGTTAACGTTATATGCACAGGAAATGAATTAGGAAGCTTATCGTATATCGGATTGGATTGGATTGGATTGGATTGGACCGGACGTCCGGATGAGATGCGTGGATATACGGGATATGATATTAGGGCAATAGGACAAAGGATGAATGATGCAGGCTAGCTGCGGAGGTATGGAGGTGTGATGTACGGAGGTAAAGGGATCTGGACATGGATGCGCGGATGTGGATGTGCAGAGGTGCAGGGATCCGGATGGGTAGAGGACTGGAGACATGGATAGGGCGTCCGAAAGTCCGGATGAGGCGTGGGAATATTGTCGGATGTAGGTCCGGAATACGGGATATGACAAGTAGTATATAAACCCTGTAGAATCTATGTACATCCTTAGTTCGAATATCATCTTAGACTCTGCTCATTCCCTCCTCCGTCCGACTTGAGTTTCTCTCTCGTCGACCTCCACTCGTCTTAGGATCGATTCCTATAGACTTGTCACCTCCGCCTCTACCTCTGGTAGTCCTCTGCTGTTTCCTTTCTAGTTCGGACTTCGTCCGGATTAGTCTTATCTCTTGTTCCCGAACGTCCGCCGGAATTCCCACGCATTGGACATCAGACTCCGGACATCGCCCAACACCCTCCGGACATTGTCCGGTAACCTTCAGACATCGTTCGACAGCCCTCGGAAGTTAGGGGCACATACTTGGGTAAGGGGCGCAGCGCACGAGCTGAAGCCAAGCCCTTCGGATCCGACCTTTGAGCATGTTCTTAACAGTATATTTGAACTCACACCTTACCGAGTATACTTACATCTGTTTTCATGGCACCTACACGGGCGCAGACCACTATTAATGCGGCGGGTTTAGTAACAGCCCGACGCGACTCTACTCCCATAGTCGATGCCTTTACCAGTTTCTCGCAGTGCCGCACTAGTGCGCAAGGCACTGCCTCCAGCATCTCTCAACTCATGAATCGCCCACATCTGTCTACCCCCACCCCCACACCCGCCGGAAATCTTCCGCACAATGATTCCGACGATGAACTTATCCTAGGTGGCAACCCGCTGGGAGGTGGTGGCGGAGATCCGGATGATGAACCTCCAGAAGACCCGACCGACGATGAAAACGAAGGTCTAGGTCCGCAGGACCTGGTCTTCCTTCGGTTATCCCAAGCTATCAATAACCTGGCGCGTAACAACCGCCAATTCTCCGGATCTGGTGACTCTAAAGTCAAAGTCCGAGAACCGGATACCTTTGACGGCACTGAGCCCCGGAAGCTCCGGGCGTTCTTTGTCCAATGTGAGCTTAACTTCCAAGCTAAGCCGAAATTGTTCCGTACTGGCCGAACTAAAGTCAACTTCGCGCAATCATACCTTGAAACTGGATGGATGACTACTCCGAGTTCATGTTAGAACTCCAAACTAACTTCAGACCTCATGACCCGGTCGGAGATGCAGAAATGCAGCTGGAACAGCTCTACATGCGCGATGGACAGCGCATCAACAAGTATGTTGTAGAGTTCCAGCGGCTAGCTTCCCAAGTCCGCGGTTGGGGTGACGGAGCTTTGTGCCGTCAGTTCTACAATGGACTTCCGGCTTGCATCAAAGACGAAATCAGTCGTCAAGGGAGACCCACTACACTTTCCCAATACAAAACTCTCACCCAGACTATCAATGCCCGATACTGGGAACGCAAGGGAGAAGTCTCCCGCGAAACCAAACCCTCCGCATCCACCCCTCCTGCTAAGCAGTCAGCTTCGACTTCTGACCGGAAAGCATATTCCGGCAGAAAATCCGGAAATGCTTTGGCTTCCTCCTCCGCCAAACTTCCGGACTTGATGTCCAAGCTCGGAAAAAATGGCAAACTCACCTCCGAGGAGCGCCAGAGGCGTATGGAGAAGAAGCTCTGCCTCTTCTGCGGTGGACCCGGTCATACTGCCAGGGACTGCCTGAAATCCACTTCCCGTGCGGCCAAAGGTCGTGCTAGCACAGTGACTCCTGAAGCCAAACCAGAGGTCTCGGAAGAGACAAAAAATTAGTCCGCGACCCTCCTGACTCCGCATGGGATGAGGGTTGTGTTGACTCAACCCGTGCAATGGAGCTACGTCTCAATGCTATTTCCTTTTCCGATCCGAACTCTCTAGTACCATCCGTTTCAATTTCTACTTTTCCCGATATCTCTCCATTTCCGGCTCTTGTAGATTGTGGCTCGTCTCATTGTTTTATAGACACCAGATTAATCCAAGAAAATAACATTCCAACCTATGCAATCCCTCCGCTTCCGCTCCATCTGTTTGATGGTACTTCTAATGCCACTATTACAGAGGCAGTAGATTTACCGATCCGGTTTCCGACCGGCGTGGTTACCTCCGAAACATTTTATGTTACTCCGCTGGACTCATCCTGTTCCATCGTTCTAGGATATAGCTGGCTCACCCGACACAATCCGTTGATTGACTGGGTAAAGGGC